GGTGGTAAGCATCCACCTTTGGTTCAGGGCATGACCCCGGGTCCCAGGATGGAGTCCTGCATCGGGCTCCCTGCATGGAACCTGCTTCTCCCTCTGCCTGTGTCTCCACCTCTCTCCATGTCTTTCATGAATAAATAAATCTTAAAAAATAACAAATTTAAATAAATAGCAATTCTGGAATTTCTCTATGTTCTAGACTTTAGCAAATTAGTAAATATACCTAGGATAATGAGAGCAGACAACAAAAGCCAAGAAAAGCCAGCTCTCTCAAGCCAAAGGACCAGAAAAGGCAACCTATAAAGGCAAAGGACTTTTAGATGGTAGTTGCGCAATTCAAGCCCAACCCCCTGGAAAAACCATGGTCCTCGGTGCCACCCCGTCAGTAGAGGCCAAGTGGAGAGCTTAGATTTCCTCCCTTGCTTGGCTGTAATGCGGTCTCCCCAACCCAGTCCCCTATTGGTGTGACGGCACAGAAGATGTAGTGGGGAGCTGTGGCTTTCACCCCAGCCTGATGGTGTGCCATCCCCCAACCCCTGCCCCGTGGTGTCATCGGAGGCCACATGGGGAGCCTACACCTGCCCCCCTCCAGCAGGTATCAGCCCTTCCACCCCCATGGTATCAGTGGAGCCCATGTTCTCCAGGAGGATGCAGTGATGAGGTAGGTACCCTGCCCCTCCTCCCCCCACCGCCTATGTCAAAGGAGGCTGAGTCCTGAGCCTGAACCTTCACATCCACCTGGTGATACGCCTACTCCCACTTGGCCCAGCTGTGTGTGCCACAGAAGGCCTGCTAAAACACAAGATTAAATAAGATCCAGAGTCTCCTCCAAATATACAAAAAGTCACACTTCTGTACCACGAACCAGGAAAATCTCAACCTGAATGAGAAAAGGCTATCAACAAATAGCAACATGGAGAGGACACAGATGTTGGAATTACCTGCAAGGATATTAAAACTGCCATCAAAAATATTTTTAAAATCTTCCAAGAAAAATTATCAATATGCTTGAAACAGTTAAAAAAAAAAAGTCTCCACAAAGAATTAAAAGAAATGGAAATTCGAGAACCAAAAAATAAAAAATCTCACTGGATGGGCTGAACAGCAGTGTGGAGAGGAAAAGGGAAAGAATTAGGGACTCAAAAATAAAATGGAAATGGCCCCATATGAATCGAAACAACAGCAGACTCTCCACAGGGAGCCAGATGCGGAACTGATCCCAGGACCCCCGGGGTCACGCCCGGAGCCGAAGGCAGGCGCTCAACCACTGAGCCACCCAGGTGTCCCTCCCCACTGAATTATTTTGCTATTCTTATCTAAAGTTATTTTCCCTCTGCCTGTGTCCCTGCCTCTGTGTCTCATGAATAAATAAAATCTTAAAAAAATAGTAATTCAGTGGTGCTAGAACTGAATATTCGTATGGAAAGCAGAGATGCTTGACTCCCCACCTCACACTTCCCTGCTCCACGCACACACGCAAACAGTGACTCAAGTGGATCGTGGACCTGAACGTAAAAGGTAAAACTTAAGATTAAAAAAAAGAAAAGGTAGCATCTTCCTGACTGGGGTAGGTAAGGACTTCTTTTTTTTTTTTTTAATTTACGATAGTCACACACAGAGAGAGAGAGAGAGAGAGAGAGAGGCAGAGACACAGGCAGAGGGAGAAGCAGGCTCCATGCACCGGGAGCCCGACGTGGGATTCGATCCCGGGTCTCCAGGATCGCGCCCTGGGCCAAAGGCAGGCGCCAAACCGCTGCGCCACCCAGGGATCCCAGGTAAGGACTTCTTAAAGAAGATCAAGTATTAGCCATAAAGCAAAAACTGATAAATCGGACTTCATCAAAACCAAAAGCACCTTCTCCTCAAAAGGTACTTTGGAAACAATAGATAAGCCAGGTGGGAAAACAGTTATCTGGCACAGGACTTCTACCAGGAACACGTAAAGGACGATCACAAACCACTGTGCGGGGAGAAAGGAGAAGGCAGGACAAAAGCATGACGCAACCAGCACAGGAAGCAGCGTCCTCCTCAGACGGCAGGGAGATGGCCACGTGCACCCGAGGGCCGCGGGCCGCCTCGATGGCGATGGCTCGGGGATCACAGCCCGGGCACCGCCGGCCGGGGGCGGGGGGGACTCGGTGGGCACTTAGCCAAACCACTGGGTGGTTTCTCACAAGCCTCCACGCGCACCTCGCCTGTGACCCAGCGTTCTACTCCCCGAGTCCGACAGAAGGACGGTGCGTCCACAAAAATTCTTGGGCGACAGCATCTCAAGCAGCTTTACCCCGAATACTCCAAATCTCAGTGCAGGGGCTACAGCAGGACACACACACACACACACACACGAACTGTGCTAAGTGCGGGGTACGGCACCGCAACCCAAAGGCGCCGACTACCCATGGGGCCCCAAGGCTGAGGAGCCTGGGAAACCTCACGCTGAGGGGAAGCCAGATGCCACAGGGCTCCCTCCTCGGGAAGGTGCGGGCAGGGCCAGGCCGCGGCAGACGGCAGCACTGAGGCCCGCCCGTGTAGGTTTAGGTCGCCTCAGTTCCCCGTTTGCAAATCATATCCCCGCCTCCCATGACAGAGCAAGAGTTGGAGACGAGGGCTCCTGAGGTCAAGATGAAGGTTCTTAATCTAGCTTTTAAATTCTGCAACTAATTGAAGTTCCTGGGTGGTAAATGACCTTGAACAATTTTGATGATTTTTAGTTTCATCAATGCAACTTAAATTCCTACAAGTGTGTGTGAGCCTAAAATATATTTAGGGTTAGTTTCTTAATACCTGTCTCCCTTCATCATCGATGAGGGGGATCCATCTTGCTTTAGGACTCCTGGACTGAGCTACCCCCCCCCCCCCCCGTGGCTTTACTAGGGCCCTAATTCACCTCCTGCCCAGTATTCTCTAAGCAACCTTCATGACTTTTACTCTATTAAATTTTCTTCCAAACTGAGGCCAGCTGTAAAAGTTTAGGAGTTTGTGGTATCTCTTACTTAGCATCTGACCTTCTTCTCTAAACCACAAGAGTGTGGTGTTCTCTCCTACTTTTCTTGTGAAAACAAAACATTAAAACATAATTTCCCAAATGACTGAAACCACTTACACATTTTGCATATTTCATAAACTTCTCATCAAGCTAAAATATGACAATGTTGAATTTTGTTACTATCAAAACTGGACTCAAAGTCTATGAGCAAATTCAATAATTTTTTCTTTTAAAAAAAGTTTACAAAGAATGAAACTAACATAAAAAATGAAAAAAAATGAGGTAAGGATAGAGCTCGATGGTAAGTCATTAATGGAAAGATTTTATTTGGTTCAAGTTTTTGAAGGCTTTTCATGCTCTATTTATATCACATAAGCCAAAACGTGTCAGTCCACTTTTACACTTTTACAAGTGCTCCTAAGAAAGCACCGTAGGACTCTAAATTCAAGGTATAAAAGCAACTAAAGATAAGCAGCGTGGTGCAAACAGCAAAGTGGCCAGCTAGAAGAAAACAGGTCTTGTCTTTTTTTTTTTCTTAATAAATAGAGCAACTATCTTAAATGTATATATTTTGAATCTGGCATAAAAAGACTTGGAAAAAAATCTAAATGTCATCTAAATGATTCTGATTTTAAAACTAGACAAATCTATCCAGTGTAAAAAAAGTCTCACTCAGCAGTGGGTTTCTCACCTCCTTCCTATTTCTGTCAGAGAGATCTTTACAAAACTGTGCCAACACTTCCATTTTACCTCTTCTGAGCCTTACCTGAGACTTAACATGTAGTAGTCATGGGTGTTCACAGAAAACCCTGCCACTGGGCCAGAATTTCCTCTTCCTCCTTGTCTAGAAATGCTAGTTTCCAAGAAACTGTAAAACTGCAGGCAATTTAGTGAGAAAAGAGTGTGACGTGTGGCGTCTGAACACCTGCAGGGCAGGGCTGGTGCCATTACAGGTCGACCGACACCCAGCACCGCACAGCCTTTGTAACGGTCAAGACTGGCCCTGGAGAACTCAGGCCAGGGAAAGAGCGTCGTGTGACACCCGAAGAGCAGACTGTGAAGGGCCGGGCCTGAGCTGCTGGGGACGCAGCACAGCACACTGCACACATGGGGCGACCCACTGCTTCACGAGAGCCTAATGAAAGGTAAATAAGACCACTACTCAGATTTTTTTGTGTGAGAATGATATTTAGTTGCTTTAAGTTACACAGCATACACTTTTCCATTTTTTTTCACAGGAATTTACTGTTCACTGTGGAGCCTACGTACAACTGAAGTGTTCAATCTTCATCAAACTGAATTCTGTTGAGCATATTCTTGTAAGTCTTCTGGGAACCAATGACAACGTATCCAATGTCAAATTTTTTAACAAAATAGAAGTCTATAAATATTTTGGCATTTTATAACAGTTACTAGTATAGCCGGAGGACTCATAAACTCCAAAGTAGTAGAGGCTCCATGGCTTAGGCTGAATATGCCTCATCTCTTACCCCTCTCTCTGGGGGATTTTACTAACAAAAACAATAGAATAGCGTCTTTTCACTGACCAAAGCAACCACCGTGTTGATCAGATCACACTGACACTTTCAAGTGACCAAAGTTAGGTTACAAGCATGTGAGGAGGTGGCAGGGGCACAGCCTCCTCAGAGAGAGCAGCCAAGGATGGCGTGGCGAGGGAAAGGGCTGAGTAGTCAGCACGGGTTTCATGTTACGGGATTACTTAACCTGGACCTTAAAACCAGAAAAATCGGAGGTGAAAAATCAACACCACTCTTATTAGTGACACTGAATAAAAAAAAAAAAAAAAAAAAAAAAAAAAGCCAGGGCTCTTCGCTGATAGGGTTACAAGCATTAGGCAAAAAATAGACAACAGAAGTCAAATCAAGTCAATATGGAGCAGTAATAAAATGTAAAAATAAGACATCATCAAACTACAGTGGATGTTATTCTGGGACTCAAAATTTGGAAGATACCTAATTAAAAGCCTACTCCCCCCCCCCAAAAAAAAAATCCTAAGTGAAAAAGTATCAATTTTAGTAAAGATACCAACATACATATAGACAGATATATATACACATGAATAATGCAACACAGATTTACAGAGATGTTAATTTGGCACTTCTCCTTGGATTTTTAAAGAAAGTAAATACAGATATCTTTGCATAACAAATTTTCATTCTGGAGAAACAAGATTTAGAAATAAAAGGTTCAAACATCTCCCTTCTTAAAGATAACATTGATACAGATTAACTTTACCCGTTAAAACTCCCGGTTGGCAACTTGATAAATCTGTCTTGAGATCCCTAACTCCACAAGTATGACAAAGTTATTTCAGTTTCTATCAGTGATACCTGGTTTATCCACTTTTAGTACATGTACCATTTGGCCAGAAGTCCATAAATAATAATAATGTTTTCAATGTAGAAATCTGAAAGGTCTAAAGGGAAGTACTGCTCAGTAGATAAATTCTCCTGGAATTTCTTGTAGCAAAGGTTCTTCAAATTTAAATCGTTTGGAAATGGCCTTTTGCTCCATTTTCTCTTTTTCAGACTGTCTGCATTGTCCTAAAGTATATGAAGTAAATACAATTAACTCCTCTGTTACAACTGATTCCTCGGTTTCTGGTTTCTGAGTATCTGAATTAATTTCAGGCACAGAATCACCTTCTTGGAGTGCATTGGCTTCTGCTAATGCCCCTTTCACCTTGAACGAAGGGTCCTGAATACTGCTCTCCGTCAACCACGGGTGTTTTAGACATTCTTCAGCTGTGGCTCGATCTCTGTGATTAAGAGACACATTTCACACTTAGGACAAGATAGTTTAAAACTTCAATTATAAATTAAAGCATACTGGGGGCGCCTGCCTGGCTCAGTGGGTGGAGCCTATGACCTCAGGGTTGGGAGTCTGAGTTCTACGCTGGGTGGAGAGATTACTTACAATCTTAAAACTAAATAAATTAGAGCATAAGGTATATTTATTGTATTATATTTGGGGAGGTACGAAGAGTTGACAAGACTCTCCTTGTGATTCCTGAATCAGACTGGAAGTTCTGGCATTTGCGTGCAAATGCCATTCCTACAATGTTGAAAAAACATTTTAAGATAATCTCTGAAGAGCCCTTTTGGGAGACCAAGCAGATAGACAATATCTGTTATGCTGAGAGGCAGCTCACATTTCCTAGAAATATTTTCATTTTTTACATTTTCTCTCAACAGATATAATAATAAGCTCAAGGTTTCATCTAGTGTAATGTCGATATTTTCCTGCCTTCGTTTTGGTGTTTCAGTTCAACCTGCTTTTGTCCAGAGCAGATCACTCAAAAATGGACAAGGATCAATATTAACTATACTTACTCAGGTTTCTTAACTAAAAGTGTCTTGATGAAGTCAATAGCTGACTCGGACACAACATCAAATTCTTCCTCAGAATAACTTAAACTCATCTGAGAGATGTTTAGGAAGGTTTCTTGTTTATTATCACCTAAGAAAGGTGATATTCCTGTGAGCATGACATATGTTAACACTCCAATGCTCCTAAATCAGAATGAAAATGGAGGAAAAATTAGTATCATATTCATTTCTTGAAACTAATTTGATCAATTTTTTTATAAATGACTCTTACCACATATCCGTCGCCATGCTGATAGGATCATAACTAAGAATTTCAGGAGCTAGTATCAGAAACAGAAGAACACATTTAGCCGTGTGAAAAAAAATCCCTAATTTGCTCTTTAAAATAAAATTTGTTTAAATACTTGTCAGAAACTCTAAGGCACCATCAAGATTTGGGCTAACATGAAATAAATTAACATTATATAAAGTAACATGAATTACTGTAAAGTCCAACTAGATGTAATTAATTTGTGTATTTTTCACACACACCAGCACCCTCCATGGTTGTTGGGTCTTAATATTTTTAAAATATCTAAATGCCTAAGTACTGTAATAGGAACTGACAAGTCTGACACCTTCCTCTTCCCGTACCCTCTATGACCAAGCTCATACCTAACAGATTCTTGCTTTTAAATCGTCCTCAATGCCATCCGTGACCCTTCGTCCCTACCGCCCGCACCCAAGGCCCTGGCACTTTCCCCTCCACTCATTCCACCTCCCTGATCTGTTCTCCGTGCTGCAGCCAGAGGGGGCTCTCAAAATGCCCACCCACTGACAAAAAGTCAGTCAACAAGGTCAAAGAAAAAAACTGAGCATTCTCAGAGGACATGCACCATACAGAAGGACAACAACGGTGCCTCTGTAGAGTCCTGAAACAGTAGGCTTTGATGACATTGTGTGACATTTATGTGCTGTCACACATAAAGCAATACAGACACTCTCAAACGTGCAAGGACTCAGGAGAAATTCATGAAAATCCGCCTTGAAAGAAGAACGTACTCATTAATACAATCTACTCAACCAAAAGATGATTTTTTTTTAAGGACGTGACTAGGAAGACAGGGAATCAAATCAAGTACTGAATCCATTTAAAAACAGATCAACGACTAAACTGAGATAATTACAGTTAAAACAAACAAAAAGAATGAAGATGTTCTAATCCTAGGAAAAAACAAAACCCTCAAGTCACATACTCACTGTTGGCTGGGGACAAGCCCCGTCCCCCAGTATGAGGGAGGTAGGCTAATTTCTGATACTGCGTCGTGAAACAGAGGTCATGAATCTTATTTTAAAGTTTTTAAAGAAACTACTAGGAAATTTAAAATGCAGCACACAGCATCCAAACTGCTGGAGGGGAAAAGTGAAATACGGAAGGGTAAAAGACAGTGGGAGGCGGGGGCAGGAAGCAACAGCAGCTCCCTTTCCTGCGTTTGTTGTATGCAGGCCGCCCAGTGCCCGGCAGGCAGTAACTGTTAGAGCCCCGCTTTAGGGACAGAGGACGGGAGGGGTAAGGACCGGCACGGAGGCAGGTGGCCCGGGGAAGGTGACCTGGGAAGACAAGCGCTCGGCCCCGACAGTGCGGCCACAGACAGGAGAGGCTCCGGTTTTCTCTCTTATGTACTTCAGAGTTATCTTTAGTTTTCTTGGAGCGGGTATTACTTTTATCATAAAGATAATTCTGTTTTTTTTTTTTTTGGGGGGGGGGTCTTGGGAGAAAACGTAGAATTAGCCCAAAGGACAGAAAGCAGGACACAAAGCCTGACACCATCCTTGGGCTCAGCAGGTACCACAGGGCCCTCCGCCTCGGCCCTTGGCTCGGCGTCGCGGGCCGAGCGCGCTCTGGGCCCCGGAGGACCGGGGTGCTTTCCGGGGAGCCCCCTCCTCAGTCCTTACCTAGGGGTGCCGACACCCCCCGGAACTAGGCACTGTGGCCCTGGGAGAACGCGCCCACATCGGGAAGCTGGTTTTCCCGCCCGTGCTGGCTGCTGTTCGGAATCCGGGGACTGGCTGCAGGGCTCGGGTTACTCTCCGGTGCTCTTACTGCCAAACAGCTTTGTTTCTCTCAGGCTCGTCGGGCCTCCCGGCTTCGTGTCGCCTGGGATGGACTTTCCCTTGTAAGCCACGGCCCCCCAGCCCTGCTCCTCAAGGACCTGCGCCCACGCGTCTCTACAAGGAGGCCCGGGCGGCCCGGGCCTCGGGAACGCGGGGGCCTGTCTGTGCGCCGACGCCGGAGCCTCGGGAAAACGCCCTTCCCTTCGGGCCCAGGCCACAGCCCCCTCTGTCCCGTGGCTGCTGCCACCTGCCACCGAAGCCGTCCTCCTCCCCGCCCCCCCGGGACGGCCGCCCCGCTGGTCCTGTGACCCACGCGGCTCCCCCTCCGGCCTCAGCATCACGAGGAGCTGCTCCGTCTCTGAAGTTTTAAAACGTCCATGTTGTAAACGGTGGTCCCGACCTTTAATCCCCTCCTGCCTTGCCCTGCGTACAGATACCGTTTCTTTTAACCTCATTCGCACCACGGATCCTTCTGCACCCTATCTTACCTCCCGGTCTATCAAAAAAGTCACAGTTTACTTATTCCTGCACCTACACCTACAAGCCACGACTCCCCACTTTAGCTGCTCTGCTGCGAGCACCTTCCAGGCTTAACTCCTTTTTCTGCCAGAAGCCCTCAACCTGCGTCTGTCCGAAAGCAGGTCCTCCCCCCCGTGTCACACACCTACGGGATCACGGGCTTGCCACTACCTTAACACTGCTTGCTATGAACTTAAAGTTCCTTAGCGGCCCTTACCTGTTAAATATCCCCCTACCTCTGGACAACTTGATATCTTACACTTTTTTATGAAGAAAAGCCTCTTTTATTCCTTTTAGCAGCAATCCCTTCAAATTCTCTTAGCCTTTCAGGAAGGGGGTCACCAATTTGGTACCTTCCTCTTTAGGGTTTACCATTTTTAAATTTTTGAACAAAGGAAGGAGTCTCCGATGGTGGGATTTCAGCATGGCAGGTGGCTGGCCCCACTACGAATCACGCCGCACAGAGTCCCCTAAGGAAGATGACGTCTGACCCCAAACACAGAACATAAGCCCCTCTTAGGAGTACCTACCTACATATTCCGGAGTACCCATAATTTCTCGGAGCTCTTCACTGTTCTTCATTATTCGTGAAAGACCAAAATCGACTATCTTTATGTCACCCAGTGGAGACTCACTGGTCAGCAGAATGTTCTGAGGCTAAAAAAAATAACAGGGAAAGAACAAGTGTCCATAAAACACGCACACTTCACCTGTGACACAGAGACTGACAAATTGAACAGTAAGCAGTCACTGACTAAACAGTATTTTTACAGGGATGCCTGGGTGGCCCAGCAGTTGAGCGTCTGCCTTCGGCTCAGGGTGTGACCCCAGGGTCCTGGGATCGAGTCCCGCATCGGGCTCCCTGCATGGAGCCTGCTTCTCCCTCTGCCTGTGTCTCTGCCTCTGTCTCTCCTGAATAAAATAAATAAATGAAATCTTTTAAAAAAATAAAATAAAAAAATAAAATAAAACCAGATCTTTTCATTGGGCTGAAATAGGCCACACCTTCAACTCCCACCACCGAGCAAAGCCACTGATTGGGTAAACGGCTCGGGCAAGGGCTCTCCCTTCAGCCCCACCAAACCCACGCCTCTCCTCCTACTCCCTGTCCCGAGACCCAGGCTAGGCACTGGGGGAGCCATCCTAAGGTACCCTGTCTCCTTCATTTCCAGTCACGCCTCATGCCGAGTGAAGTCGCTGGCCTGCCAATGCCAAGTCCTAAATCTCTGAACCCCCGCTGCTTCAAGTCTGGGCTCTCGTGAGCTCTCACCTGGCCCACGTTCCCTGCCTCTAGCTCCCTGCACCCTCCACCCATCCTTCACTGCACAATGACCTTGCCGTGCTGTCTGATTAGGACACAGGTTGCTAGTCCTCGCCGACAAACACTCTCTCACATGGGACGCATCTGACGGGCAGGCGAGAGCCACCCGATGACACAGAATCAGTAACATTCGTGGTCCTACAGTCACGTTTGTTACCCAAATAAAAATAACCTAGGACATCTTTAAGTATAAAGTCTATCCTACATTATGCACAGGATATAAAATTCATTTCAATTCTTAAAATGAAACAACACATGAAAGGTTTATGTTGCTCAGGGAACCCCTTGCTACAGCACCCCAGTGTTCTCTGATCCGGCTGGGCTCCTCCTCAGGGCCAGCAGGCAACCTGTGGGCCAGATCCCACAGCGGCCGTCCCTCCATCAGAGGCGCACGGCCCGCCTCAGGCCCTTGCCTGCCGGACGCCTGCCCAGGAAGCCTGCTCCCCTCCGCCGCCTCACAGGCCCACCCCTCCCTCCGTGCTGGCAGGTCTGGAGGAAGCACGGGTTCCCAAGAGAGCCTCCTGTGACCTTCCCAGGAGGGTGAGGCCTGCCCGGGCCTACCTCACATGCTGTGCGGGGCTGACACATCCCACAGGTCGTTGCCCGTACTCTCCTGTCCCCTCCGTCACACTGTGGTTCTCCAGAGGTTTCAGCGCGAACGTGGACAGTTCCTTGCCTTCCACGCACATTCAACCCCTCCCTCTGACCCTTGTCTCACTCGCACCCAAGGGCGCACGTGCAGGCCTCAGGGGCCACCTCAGCGGCGCCGGACACGGGCCTCTCCTTCCTCACTCTCTCGGCTCCCACAGCAGAGCACGGCCCTGGCCTTCCTCGGGACGCTCCGGCTGCTCCCCTCCTTTGTGAGTCCACCTTCCTTCAAGTGGCCCAATACCTGGGGTCTCACGCTCACCCCAGACATGGGTCTGCAGCCAGGCTTCGCTGTCACCTGCACTTTATGAGTCAGGATCTTTACCTCTGGCTCAGGCATCTTCAGCCAACTGCTTACTTCATCCCTCCCGCCTGATGTCGCATGGCTACCCCTCACTCCGCAGGCCCCTACCAGCGAAGGTTCCTCCCACACAGAGGCCCCGCATGCCACCGACTGTCACCTCGAGGACGCCACTCCCGCCCAGCAACGTAGAAGGAAACACGCATGGCCACTGGGTCATTCCTCTCTCCCCACTTTCTCCTCACTTAGCTCACATTTCATCACATCCTACTGAGTTTAAATCCTACATTTACCCATTTCTAGACTTTATTTTTCTCCCACTACAGACCACTCGTTCAAGGTACCATCGGGATCTGCTCCACTGCGGCGACAGCCTGCAAATGGTGTGCTAGGATCCGCGTTGCCCACACTGCAGACCGAGGCCTCTCCTGCACTACGTAAGTTGGCCTGTCGCCCCTGCCTGAGCCCTTCGGTGGCTGCCCGTTACCCTGCGCTGCCAAACTACCCACGTGGCACCGGAAGCCCTGCCAGCTGGGGCACTCCTGGCTCTGCACGCCCATCATAACCTGCTCCCCGTGGCTCGGCCACAGGGGAGGCGGTCTCGGGGGCCACCCTTCAGGCTCTCCCACTCGCCCGCTCGCTCGCCCACAACAGCATCTTTTGCACTTTTCCCCATTGGTCTTTGCCTAGTGTCAGCTCGCTGAGAAGACCTGGGAGGACACTGAAGCAGATCCTAACGATGTTCAACAGTGAAGAGCTGCAGCGGCAAACAGCAAGTTGAGGTCTGGGTGGTTCCCCTCTTCTGAAAGGGCTACAGTCACCCCCGCCATCCACCCTGCCCTTTCTTCTTAAGGACAGGCTTGTGGATCTAGCCAAGTCTGGCTTCAGGAACAGAGAAGGGAAGAAGCCACAGCCCACGGGCCCCAGTCCCGGGCACTCTGGCAGCGCCAGCAGCAGTGCCGGCACCCAAGAGGCACACACTGTTTGCTGTTTGAGTAAAGAAGGAACAGAACTAACTATAAAGAACAATCTGTTAATTTATTTACTTTTAAAGATTTTATTTATTTATTCATGAGAGGCAAGCAGAGACACAAGCAGAGGGAGAAGCAGGCTCCCTCTGGGGAGCCCAAAGCAGGACTCAATCCTGGGACCCCGGGGTCATGACCTGAGCCACTCAGGTGCTCCTATACAAAAGAATTTCAAAGGAAGGCAGGCGCTGTAAACAGGAGTAATAGCAAGTGCCTGGTGACGGCGCGTTCACCATCAGAAGAGAAAATCGAGGGAAGTACCTCGCAGGCTCCACTAACTCGGTGCGTTTCAGGTGCGCTTGTAGACAAAGCGCCCAGGAAATAAATGAACAGGAGGGAAGAGGTCAGCCTTGCAGGATCACACAGGAGATAAGTGAGCCGACCTTGGAGGAGAAAAAGGACTTTGTGGCCTATTGAAAAAAAAATGTTATTGATTGCTTCCTGGGAAAACAAGAGAAAATGAGACCTAAGTCCCCTGTTCTTTGGAAGCCTTACCTTCTAATGGGAACAAACAAGTACGAAGAAAGTAACGATACCGCGGGCAATTTTAGGCCCCATGGAAGACCCCAGAATCAGGGAAGGGGCACAAGCGCGCCTGCTGGGTGTGCGTCCGTGTGCACACAGGTCATGTTTAGGGTGGTCAGGGAGCAGCCCGGGGCGAGGAAGGACCTTGCCAGAAGCAAGGACAAGCTCCTCGTGGAGAAGCTGCAAATGGAGAAGGGCGCAGAGGTGGAAGGGGACAAGGGGTGGCAGGCACCAGACTGCTAAGGAAATGTGGGCCGGGAACCCGAGGGCTCTGTGAGCCATTCTGGAAGAACTGGCACAGGGCACATTCCAGGGACAGATAAGGTCACCTGCCAGAGAATACACGGGTGAGCCGATATAGCGTGAGGCGAGCGAGGGATTATCAAACATAAGAGTATGTCCTTGTAGAATGTGCCTCTACCCTGTTTTTAAAGCCTTCAGAGAGAGAGAGAGAGAGAGAGAGAGAGAGAGAGAGAGAGATGATGAAGCATGGAATAATTTAAAAAGAAAAAAACCCAGAGGCAACTTTGCAGGTTACAGTGGCAAGATCCACAGCCCACTGTGACCGATGCCGTGCAGGAGCAGAAACAATACGGTGTTTCGGTCATTCACCGGCTACTACAGTCAGGTCGGCAAGACAGGAGGACACTGGTTCCATTTTGATTCTCAGCCCCAGGAAGGGAGGCCCCTGCAGCACCACCCAGGACAGCTGCAAGTGCCATCTGGAGAGAATTCAGGGCCGAAGGTGCTGCCTTGGAGGGCGAGGCCACAGGGGAGACTGAGCCCACCGACGAGAACCCGGCAAGAAGAGAAGCGGCCGAGTGGGTTCAGGCTGCTAAGTCCACCTAAGGGGGCAAGGACGGGGACGGCAGTCTGAGGAGTGAGGCCAAGAACCCAGGCATCATGTTGAGGAAGGAGAGTCAGGAAGAAGAGGGTCACACCGGACCCGGCGAGGGACGATGACCAAGAAGGCCACTGAGTACAGCAAATAAACAAGCTCTGAAGGGCTTCCGAGGAATTAGTTTTTAGTAAAACTGTGGGAGAAAATCCTCGGTTGAAAAATAAGTTGAGAGGCTAAACGGTCCATTGCAGGCCCTTCTGGCTTCGTTAGCCGTGGATACCCTCTACACCAGGGCCGTCCTACGGGAAGGTCATGCAAGTCCCAGAATGAAACCTCAAATTTCCTAGTAGCCACCTTATCAAAAGTAAAATGAAACGGATGAAATTAATTTTAGTATTTCTTTAATTCAGCAAGTCTAAAATATTATCCCTTCAACAGTATGTAATATGTACGGGTATTAAGCGATTTTATTCTTTTTTTTGCCCATACTCAGTCCTGGAAACCTGGCATGGAGAGCACATTTTGCACCTCTCTCTGGTCTCAAGAGCTCAACAGCCACAAATGGCCAGTGCTACTGGACTGAACAGTGCAGCTGTGAACTCCTTTAATTAAAAAAAAAAATTCCAAATGATACCCCAATAAACGTTCAGGGAATTCTTACCATCTCTTGCATACCATCCTAATTTATTACCACTGTGCAATTATGGAATGGTAGTTCATCTTGAGAACACATTCATAAAAACTAAGACTCTGTCTATAGTGAAAACAACCATCTTGCGGCTCAGTATAATCTGTAATTTTGTACAAAAAACTGTTTTCTTAATCATAGAAGATTTTGGCTACAGTAAAAACTTAAAACTGAACAGAAAGACAAGAACAACATATTGCTGTCACTGGAGAAGTGTGGACTGCAGAGGCACGCTAAAGTGTTAGAAATTACCCAAACCGGATAAAGCACCCGCTCCTGCCACAACTGCCAAAGGACTGAAAATG